GCCCGACTAGGTGAAAAAATACCCTTCGAGTGGCGTATTTTTTTTTTTTTTGTGTGAACTATAAAAAATGCATGAATATGCACATTTTTTACAAAAAATGTACCCAAAACAAAGTTACTGGACACCACTTGGCCCTTTTTGAATCTACTCCGCCCGGGTTTTGGGCAGGCTTCAATCGGCCTAGACCCCCACAGTCGCCTAGGGGCAGCCTAACAGTATTTGGAACACTAAGATACCCTATTTTAAGCTTTCTCTATATCAATAAATACCATGTGGATGTATTTTCTATTCTCCCTTAACTTCTCAATCAAATGCCTAAGTAGCAAAATGGCCTCAATTGTTGACCTCACCAAATAGATTTTCTGATACAACTCGTTTCATGCCTTAGTAGTTGATCATTCACTATCTCCCACAACTTCATAGTGTAGCTCATAACTTTGATCCCTCAATAGTTCTCGCAATTCTGCATGGCTCCTTTATTGTTGTAAATAGGTACAACATTACTTTTTCTTGATTTGTCTGACATTTTCTTTGTTCTAAACACCTCATTGTTGAACAGTTTGGTCAGCCGACATATGACAATCTCCCTTATGCACTTCCAAACCTCTATTGGGATACCATTTGGTTCTAAGGCCTTTTGTATCTTCATCCTCCTCTAAGCTTATTTCACTTCAGGTATCCTGATCCTGCGCATGTATCTATGACCTCTACCTCATTTATGCCAAAGGTTCCTCCTAGCGTGATGTTCCCATATTGTTCGTCATTTAATAATTTTTTTAAGAAAACTCTCCACTTCGAGTTTACGTCATCATCCTTCGCCAAGACCCTTTGATCCCCACTCTTAATGTATCTACTAGATCCCCACACTTCCTCTCTTTAATATTTGATAGTTTGAAGACATATTTTTCACCTTTTCTTGTGCCCAGTTTATTGTAGAGATTATCATTAGCCTTAAGTTTAGTTGTACTATTTTCTTAGCATTTTTGTCGCAATTTTTATACTCTTCTACATTTTGATCATTAATGTTATATTTCCAAGTTTCATAACAAGATCGTTTTTCGCAAATGGCCTTCTGAACCTCATCATCCAACTACCATGCTTCCTTATCGGAATTTCTTTTCTCTAAAACTTCTTTCGCCACTTTTTTTAATACCATTAGCCATCTCATTCCACATGATTTTGACTTTGTGTTCAGAGTTCTATTTTCCTTCTTTATCAATTTGTCTCTAAAAAGGTGCATTGGCTCCTTTTTTTAATTCTATCACCTAGTTTTTCAACAACTATTAATTTCACTCATTCTCTTCCATCACTTTATGCAAACATCCATAACTACAAGCCTACGTTGTGTGGTCAAATTCTCTCCTTGAATAACCTTACAGTCTTTACATGATGGTCGATCTACCTTCTCAACTAAGAAGAAGTCTATCTAGCTTTTGTAAGATCCACTTTATAAGTTATCAAATGCTCATCTCGATTTTAAAGTAGGTGTTTGCTATTCTAGGTTGTAAGCCACAAAAAAATCTTGAATAGCCCCACCCATCTATTTCTTTCCCCAAAACCATATCCCCTATTTACCCCTTCATATCCTCTACTACACTTCCCTGCATGACCATTTTAGTCCCCTCCGAAAAAAGGTCCTCTCACCATTTGGTATGCCTTGGACTAGTCAATCCATGTTCTCACAGAATTGTCTCTTAATTTTGTCCTCTAATCCTACCTGTGGCACAAAAGCACTAGTTACATTGATTATCTCCTCCCCTGACACAAGGTATTTTAATTAATAGTAGCCTACCACTGACTCTCATGACATTAACTACTTTATCCTTTAAATCTTTGTATAGTATTATGCCTATGTTTTTTTTATTATTATCCTTTCCTATATAAGTTATTAAATTCCTACACCATTTCTATTATTATCCTTTCTTGTATACGTTATTATCCTTTCCTATATAAGTTATTATGTATACTATTATGCTTACGCCACTTTTATAAGTTATTAAATGCTCATCTAGCTTTTTAAAGTAGGAATTTGCCATTGTTAGATCGTAAGCATAACAAAATCTAGAATAGCCCTACCCATCTCATTGCTTTCCCCAAAACTATATCCCCTATGTACCCCTTCATATCCTCTATTATTTTTCCCTGCATGACCATTTAAGTCCCCTTTAAAAAAAGTTCTCTCTCCATTCTGTATGTCTTGGACTAGTCAAACATGTCCTCCCATAATTTTCTCTTAATTTTATCCTCTAGTCCTACCTGTGGTGCATAAGCACGACTTACATTAGTTATCTCCTCCCATAACATAATTAATAGGAGGCTATCACCATCTCTCTTGACAATAACTACTTTATCCTTTACATCTTTGTCTACTATTATGCCTCGGCTATTTATATTATTATACTTTCCTATATACAAAAGTATATACTCATCAATTTCCTTAGCATTTTCCTTTTCGACCTAATTTTTTGTAGAGCAAGCTTTGTTACTTAGTTTTCAGTAGGCAAACTGTGGCAATTGCAACCTTCTAATAGTCAAGGGAAATGGTATTATAATATAGGGGATCCTTTTCAGAAAAGCGATTGAAAATGCGGAACTAGTTTAAACTAGGCTAAACGGACAAGATGAATCAATGAACTCAACCAGAAAACCTGCCAAATAACTCTTGTTTATATTTTTATTTATGTTACCAAAATGGTTTGTAACTGGTTGGACCAATGATTAATCCAAAATGGACCAATCCAAACACTCTTCTAGTATATCTTAAGTTTGATATTGATCATGCCTATGTGCTCATCGCCAAGTTCATCATATTCCACACTACAATTGGAAGAAATTACTAGGGTTTCTGAATAGCCATAAAAAGCACTGGCAGAAACTAGGCGACCATGGGGGGCCCAGCTGCCCAGTGTCTAGGCATGGATCGAAGGATTTGGGTGGCCTAGGTTCAACAATGGGGCAGGAGGTGTCCTGGGAAGCCTGTTTTAGGTCCAAATTTTGTATAAGAAAAGCATATTCATGCTTCTTTTTTTTTTTTTTTATTGTAGAATCATGTCAAATTGAAACAAAAGTACTACAGTGCTACCAAAAAATACGCAATCCGTAACCAATTAAGCTAACCATAATCCATACAAATCCATAACCTTAATGCTCATATGGGGTTGGGAGCCCAAATAGGCCAATTGCTTCCACCATGGTATAGAAGTTGCTTAAGCGAGTAACATTAAAAGGGATGCATTGATCCATCCACCGTTCAATGTACCGATTACTCAGCTTCTCTCATCCTTCTTGAATCGATTTTCAATTATGGTCCACTTTGCTTTATCAATTGTAACATGCACCCCTTCACCCGAGGCTTCTAGGCATAGGCACCTCCTCCTAAGGCTTCTTGGGCCCAGACCAAATTACAACTCCCATGCCTCTCCTAGTCTAGAACAAAACCACCTGATCCACCTCAGTATCCCCCTATCCTCACTCTCATCATCATAAAATACATGAATCCCAACCCTTAAATCAGCTATGCATGCCTCCTTTTCTGCCTCTTTTCGTTTTACCAAATTCAAACATTTTTTAACTCTACCCTAATAGCTTCAGGAACCATCTTAATAGGGGCAACACTCCTCTCAATACTAGCAAATTGTTTCTTGAACTGGTTTACACCCTCATTAGTATCTTTTTCACAATAATTACATCTTATACAATTTCTATCTTTTACAATCGGCTTATAACCATACTTCCAACTTGAATCACTGGCCCTAGTAAAACCTAAAGAAGATGTGAAATAACCAAAAAAAAAAAAACACTCAAATACAAAGATTTTTTTTACTAGCCTTTACGTTCAATCTTCAATGTTTGTGTTTTTTTACTAGCCTTTACGTTCAATCTTCAATGTTTGTCATTCTCAAAGGCTCTTTAATAACCCCTTAATATCCTTCTTAAATAAATAAATTGAATCCGAAATGTTTGGATCAATTTCGGAAGTTTTGAATTCGAAATTGAATCCAACCAAATTTGAGATTTGAAAGAATTTTTTTTTGTTTTCGAAGATAGGGGTCTTCTTTTTTCTTTCTTTGCTTGGGGTGGGGTGGGGTGGGGTGGGGGGTTCACCCTTATTTGGGAGAAAATTTGCCGGAAACTCCAACCAGGGATGCATTTTCCACCTTAGGAGGGTGCAGTCCCAGGGTGCCGACCTAGGGAGACGCTGGGACATGTGCTCAAGGACACCCTACTAAGGAGGCCGCGTGCCTAGGCCTCCCAGCCTGCCTACGCACTACGGGGGCATCTTTTTAGAACATTGTTTCAAGTGCAATGAATTTATTAGAACTGAAAGAATTGATAGTTTCAACCATAGAATACCAGTCTGGACAGAACTTGGGAAGAAATTATGCGGCTTGAGAAACGTCAATTGATACAGTTCATGACTCAGAAGCAAAAAAAAAAAATCACAATCCAACATTCCATTTTGCAGATGAAATTTCAGATCTATCAAAATGATAAGTCAAGAAGATTACTCATACAATTTAATCACACATATAAATCAAGAAAAAAAAAAAAAAACCCTTAATATTACATGTGAGGAATATTGATACTGGGCAGTCAGGCATTCTAACGTGCACCCTCATCAGCCCTTAACTTTGAAAATGTACTGCATTAGATACCAGGTATAGAAGGATATAAGAATTATAAATTGGAGAAAACAATAACCTATCCATCATCAGAGTCCTTATGGTTCATTCATAACTAGTACATTCCAGTTCTAAGATCAAAATACACTCCGGAATAAGTTTCTCAAATGGGAAAAGAGCAAATGAAACAGAAATCAATTGGAAGCCTATGCAAGATCAGCAGATCCTTATGAAATTACTTTTTCATCCTATCAGATTTGGAAACCTAACTGCTTCTTTAAAATGAGTCGTTATTTAACTGTTCAAGGTGAAACAAGGCAGTACTAAATATCCAATCACAGGTAACATCTACATCAGATAAAAGAAAAGAAAACTCACATAAAACTCACGTCCATCTTTGCTCGAAGTAGCTTCTCACCATGCAAGGCATCATCAAAAGATCGTTTTGTGCTGTCATAAAATATGAACTCTGGAGATACAATCTGCAAGACGGTAAAAGGATTCACAATCAGCCAGGTGTATCATCGACAACGATTTCAGAATCATACTTTGTTCGGAAACATGGCATTATTGCAAAGAAAATGTACGTCTGCTTAAATATCCTTCCAGTATAATGCCAGAAAACTATGGATAAGAAAGTACTAGCATCATGCAGAGTACTTGAAGGAAGTACAGATTTAAGAAAGTTTACAAACCACTAAAGCTAACCAAGATAACCTTTACCCACATGGAGCAATGTCAACCACTTAGGTCCAACAAGCTTTATCAATAACAAGTGGACAAACCAAAATTTATTGCAAACAAATAAAAATGAATTGCTGGGACTTCTGTAATCTGCTGATCCATATGCATGGAATGAAAGAGCAAGAGGAATTGAAATGAAAGTAGAGGAACGATGGTGTCTAGAGGGGATTCAGGTAGGAAGCAGCTACAGAAGAGCTTTCAAACATGAGAGCATTGAGTACCATTATTGTACGAGGTTCTGAAAGATAAGCTAAAGCCTAAAACTAGAAAAAGAGGAACGGAAAACTTTCAAAACAAATATTAGACCAAGACCAATATAAAAACTATGGCCCCATTTAGAGGTCCCTCTTATTGGATGCAGCATTAAGACTCCCCAATAGTTACAACAGAATGGGTTCTGTGCCATTAAACACAGGCACAGCTCTAGCATTGCAACCCAGTATATTCATAAAACACCGTCGAAATCCCATGTTTGGCCCAAATTATAGAATTAGAAAGAACCAGTCATGTCTTTGGGACCAATCATGTTCCACTTGTTTATGACCAGAAGAGTGCCTACTTTCATGATTGCCTAATAAGGATCTACAATACCTGAAGAGTGCCTGAAGATTACCAAATTCATTTGCCATGAAGTCCACATTATATTGCCACAGATATATTTGATATTTTGAAGAAGATAAGTTCCATACCATACCCCTAGCATAGTACAAGGATCTACAATACCATTCAAGGACCCATATCTAAAGCAAAGAAATGAAGAAGACCCTTAAGGATGGCTGGGACCGTCAGATTCTAAAAGGTTATAAACCATCAGATATTGAGCAACGAAAGTACAAGCAAGCAAACAAAGTAGAAGCACAACCAGAATATCTCATCTCGCCACATCCTTCTTGGTGCAGACCTAGTAGCTTGAGCTAAGGTTTTTGCAAAGAAGGAGATAGGGAAGATCTAAACTTAGAGACAGATGCAAAATCCAAAGATAAAAGGAGCACTTGCTGCTATGGGGTTTTGAATAAAAGTGCATAACATTATCCCCCATTATACTTAAGAACATCCCTTATATAAGAAAACCCTAAACAAGACTTAATCATGGCTATTCATCTAATCTAATCATAGCCATTTATTTAAAAAAGACTTTAAGTGAATAAAAAAACATTTAAGAATCTAACACATTACTATTTATGCTCCTAAGTAAATAAAAGACTTCAAGAAAAAGAATAAAATGCATTAAAGGACAGACTCAATGACTAATTTTCCTTTCTGTAGTTTCTAGATACTCGAGATTGATATTCTAGGCTATTTCCCATCTTCAAAATAATTCGTCCTCGAATTGGGCGGCTCACCGTCGAAGGTATCATAACGATATAGAATGAGATGCTTGACATTAAAAACATCAAAAGAGCGAATATGGCTTGATAGCTTTAACTGGTAGGCACTATCATTGATCTTCTTCAAATTTTTGAATAGTCCTACCTCGACGAGAGTTCAGATCTTGGCGTGCCATTTTACTACATTCCCCATAAGCATGGGATTAATTACGTTTTGGACCCATTGAGAATTGTCATACTTATAATACATAAGCACAACACATTTGGTCCTGAACATATCAGAGAATACTCTACCATGAATTTTGAAGCAGCTCAAGTTTAGTGATGCATTACCCCCGTGATTTCCTTCAACTCGCACATAGTGATTAAATATAGAGGTTCTCAACTCAAAACAAAATAATTGTTGAAGCCGAATTTCAACATCGGAATCACATAAGCACCCATTTCATGGCCACCATCTATATTGAACTCACTAGCAAAATGTTCATAGAAAAATATCACCAAAGCCGTTTCGCAAAAAAAAAAATCACCAAACCCTTGCGGCGCAAATCACATGACATTCTATATTTAGGTAAAACTCCAAGAAGAAGAACATTATCATCATTACCACCATCAACACCATTCTTCTCGCTACTTTCTCTAGGGACTAGGGATACCATTTACTTCCAATATTTTAGAAACAATTCCTTGACATCCACCTTGTTTTCATCAAGAATAGGAGCATCTACAAAATCCTCTCCAATGGTAGGATCTTCATTTTTATCCTCTTTACAGAGTGGATCACCATTAAAGCGATGATCACCCACTTCTTTCTCAACACCCAAATCTTCATTCGAGTGCTTATGAAAGACTGGTGGTGAGTCCCAGTCCATAATGTGTTGATCATGAGAACCATTTGATGAGGTCCAAGTTTCTCCATGCTTGTTCTCAAATATACTTCCATTAAACTCCGGGATCTCAAACTAGAGACCAATTTCACAACTACTATCCATATCTGTATGATCAGCTCCCTCTCTCCTTGATGCTTGATCATGGAAGGGATTTATGGATTCCTCATTTGTATCGATCTCATACTCCTTAGTTGGGGCTACCATCTGCGCCAAATGCAGAGCTAGGGTTTCAACCAATCTCCTCAGATCTGCAATCACTTATTGTGAACTAGCATCAAATGCTTCTATAGTTGTCGCTTTTACTCCTTTTACTCAGCATAAAATCTGATACCAACCTGGCACAGACCTAGTAGCTTAAGCTAGGATCCAAAATGGAAAAAGATGCAAAAAACCAAAGATAAAAGTAGCACTTGTTGCTCTAGGGTTTTTAATAAAAGTCCAAAACATTATCCCCCATTATACTTGAGTACATCCCTTATATAAGAAAACCCTAAACAAGACTTAATCATGGACATTCATCTAATCTAATCATGGTCATTTATTTTAAAAGACTTGAAGTGAATAAAAAGACATAGAAGACACTAAAAATTACTACTTATGCCCCTAAGTAAATAAAAAGACTCAAAAAATAAATAAAAGACATAGAAGGATAAACTTAATGACTAATTTTCCCTTATGTGGTTCCTCTTGTAAACTTTAAGCTTATCTCTCTTGTCTAGAGACTCGAGAGCAGTATCCTAGGCTGCATCACTTCTGAATGCAATAATGAGCCCCATTAGTAACTAAAGTATAAAACCTACCAATGCTAACAAACTAGATGTAAGAGCATCAATACAAGTTCTCAACAGGATGGCAGTGCCCAGTGAAAAATTACCCTTTCAAAGTTAGCTTTATAGTGACATTTATCATTTTCAAGGAGCCATGGCTTCTGTTCATGTCTTTTAGATCATATTTCTTATAAGATGCATGTGAGAACTGCACTCTACAGTACTGTAAAGAGGGCTATCTGAAACTGAGGATCAAAAGCATGAGTGACCAAGATTGCACATACCAATATAGCACACTCAACATCAATATATTATCATAGGCAATCAGAAAATCCAACAGCTAAGGTAATTGCATGCTATATTTCTTGTCTACAAAATGACCAATAAGACCGATGAACTGAGGATCAAAAGTATGTGTGACCAAGATTGAACATACCAATTTAGCACACCCAACATCAATATAATATCATAGGCAATCAGAAAATCCAACGGCTAAGTTACTTGCATGCTACACTTTTTGTCTACAAAATGAACACTAGGACCAACTTAACACAATCATGAAAACAAGAGCCACAAGAACACAACTAGGACCTACATGCAATCATGAAAGAAACTTTTCTAGGGAGTGAGGGAGGCAACTAAAAAGATAACTAATAAGAAATTCACTCTCGAAAATTAAAATAAAAGACGAAAGAAGAAAGAACCTAATGATGCTACCTGAGCTTCAAATGTGATACTTCGTATTTCACTCAATCCACCACCAGTTTCCATAGGTGCATCTGACGAATGATTCGATGATTTAGACAAACATTCTAGATTACCTGTATCCTTCAGGGAAGATATAGACTCAAGCAACGATATGCTAACCCCATCTTCCGCAGAAATTGAGTAGCTGCTGTCAGCACTCAGATATGTGTACTTCCATAGTAAAGCACCATTCTGTAATAGAATACAGGAAATTCAAATGTTTTAGCATATATCTCAACTATACAGCATGAATGGAAAATCAAAATCTCTGGACTACATTGTTTCAATGACGCAATTTTTATTCAAGATAATATTACAAGGTTCACCCTTCCCTGCAAATCTAGACCACAACAACAAGTAAAAAAAAAAAAAGTAAACGAGAAGGGAAAAACAAATCTACAAAAATGCACTCATAAAGACCACAAAATAAGTTCCACATGAAGGCAGTGATTCCTACAGAAGCATTTGATGACCTGAAAAGGGTAAAATTACAATAAAGCCAAGGCATGATTTTTTTTTTGTTTTTTTGACTGTTAACAAAAATATTATTAAAATAGTTAATGAGAGTCCCCTGGTGGGCGAGACTCTCTACAAAAAAGAATAGGCCCACTGGCCCTATACAAAATATGATACAAAGACTGGCCCCTCACAAGTATACAAAAATGGGGTAAGAGATATTCCTTTACAAAGTACCTGAACATGGGGTTATAACAGTCCCCTTACAATATCCACAAACACTTTACGAAAAATAACTTAATGATGCTGCACAGTGTTAGGCCTGCAATATGCAGTAAAGTGTAGCAGGCCAAATCTAGTCATCCTCATATGCTTTAGCTCCGTCCTTCGGCAGAAGGTCCGCGAAGGCGTTTGACGTCCTCGGTGTATGCTTCCATGAGACATACATACCCCTGCAAATATGTTCAATCTCCTCAAACAAAGGCAAAAGATACCAGGGGGGCGACACTTCCATGGAGGCCCAGGTGATAATATTTTGGGTGTCGCCCTCCACAATAAGATGATGTCCCCAAGAGCTTTCCAAACTTTGAAGGCCTTTGAGTAGTGCAAGAGATTCAGCATGTTGTGAATCTTGCACCCCTATGTACTCTGAGTACGTGAAGAGGACATTATGTTGGTGGTCTCGGAATACTCCTCCCATCCCCGCATGACCTGGATTACCTAAGGAGCAGCCATCAAAATTAAGTTTGACTGCTCCACGGGGGGGTGGTTTCCATGTGGCCACGATTTTCTTGTTCTTACTAGGCCTGTGTAGTAAGATGCTCTTCCATTCAGGTAGGATGGAGCGTGCTAGAATTCCATTGAAATGGTCATTGTTTGTGACCCAAAAAGTTACTAAGTCGGCTGTAACTTTTTGAAAAAGAGTTGGAACCAGAGTGACTTGTCCCCTAAAAATTCTGCCATTCCTTTCTTTCCAAAGCGTCCAGATGGTTGCTGCCACTGAAGCTTTCCATAAGATTTTCCCTACTTTCGGCCAATGGGAGTAGGGGTTCAGAGCTATCAGATCCTTGATCGACTGAGGAATCACCCAGTGTACCCCAAAAAGTTGTAATACGCAAGCCCAAAGGTCATGTGCTACCTTACAAAGGAGGAAAAGGTGAAAGTTGGACTCCTCGCTTAAGCACATGCAGCACCTGTTTGGAATGGGGATCCCTTTCCTTTGCAGGTGATCAATAGTTTTTTCCTTATGAGATGCAGCTAACCAATTGAAAGTTGCACATTTAGGGGGGCTAAAGTTTGCCATACCTGGGAAAGAATCGAGGTGGGATTGAGAGGGAAAGTGGGAGATTGAGATAGGATCTTGTAAAAGGAGGCCACAGAGAATTCTCCTGATGGAATTAGGGATCGTACCAGCTTGTAACTTCCATGGACCAGAATAAAGGTACCGTGCAGCATAGATGAGAGAGAAAGGAACTGATTTATTTCTTCCTCAGTAAGATTCCTTCTAAAAGAAGGTTGCCATCGTCTCCTACCACCCTGTGGTCTAAGTTCATCATCGATTGTGGAATCTCTCTTGGAAGCTAAAGCATAGAGAGAAGGGAAGCATTCCCTTAGCTGTGAGTGCCCTATCTAGAGATCGAACCAAAAACAGAACTCTTCTGCCTTCTCTGGGATGCAGCCTGATAAATGTTTTGAACATTGCAAGTGAGGGTAGAAAGGATCTCCACGCCCCTGACGCATTGGACCATGGTTTTTTCTCAGTTTCCAAATATGTTCCGGAATATTGTACTTACTGCGGAGCACCATTGCCTATAGAGATTCAATATGGGTGGCCAAACACGACCACCATTTACCTAGTAGGGCAAGGTTTTGCTTTCTTAACACTCTGATACCCAGTCCTCCCTGTTTCTTGGGTAGAAAGACTTTGTCCCAGGAAACCAGGTTGAACTTAGTCTTATCTGCCTGTCCTAACCAGAGGAAGTTCCTCATGACCTGGTCAAGTCAATTAGCCACTGAAGCTGGCATTTGAAACAACGACATGAGATACACCAGCGCATTGGTGAGAGTCAACTTGCTTCCTGCTCGAGAGAGAAATCTCCCTTTCCATCCAGCCAATATTCTATCAACCTTGTCAATGACGTGGGACCAATGTCTTTTCTTCGGTTTGCCTAGACCAAGAGGAAGGCCAAGGTAGGTTGTTGGGAGGACTTCAACTTTACATTCCCAGGAAGGAATAAGCTCTCTGATCTGGTTATTAGTTAAAGCTATCCCCATCATCTTAGACTTCTCCATATTTACCTTAAATCCCGTGGCCAATTGGAAGCACTTGAGGAAAAGTCTTACGTTTTCTACTTCAGGCTGGGAGGCATCAAGAAAAACCAATGTGTCATCTGCATATTGCAGATGCGACAATATTGGCCCACGTCGCGAAGTTAGGAAACCAGTAAGAAGACTGGCTTGGTATATACAGGCTAGAGACCGGCTAAATACTTCTGTTGAGTAGGCTTATTGGACGAAAATCCTTGAGTTCCTCAGCTCCTTCTATTTTGGGTACCAGAGTAATGAAGGTGGCGTTAATTTATTCAGTATGCCCCGATGGAAAAATTCGTTAAAGAAATTAAGAAAGTCAAGGCGGAAGGTGCTCCATAAAATTTTGAAGGTGGCCACAGGGAACCCATCTGGGCCAGAAGCTTTGTCCTTAGCTAGGTCATCAAGGGCTTTTAAAATTTCATCTTCAAGGAAAGGCCGCTTCAGCCAAGGAGCTTGTTCTGCAAAAAGAGTAAGGAAGTCTAAGTCTGTCATGTTGGCCGCAGGTCATTAGGGTCAGAGTAAAGATTTTGAAAAAACGCTAGGATAGCTAACTCAATATCTTCAGGTTGGTCTAGGTACTAGTTGTTGACTTTGATAGTCGAGATAGTGTTTGCCCTCCTGCAGCAGTTAGCTATTCTATGAAAGAACCGGGTGTTAGGTCCCCCACTTTAAGCCAGTTGATTCTAGAACGTTCGTACCAAATGAGCTCTTCTTTTTTGAGGGTGGAGAGGTAATCAAGTTTACGTTGAATTCTGAGTTCAGCTTCACTGGGCGACAGTGGGAATGATTCTTCAAGGCAATCCAGTTCTTGTAAGGAGTTCAGGAGGTTAGACTTAATTTGGGAGTAGCTGCCAGGGAGAGATAGACTCCAGTTTTTGAGAGAGGCCTCAAGCAATTGGATCCTAGATTGTAATCTAAAGCCAGCTCTGATGTTCGCTCTTCCATCAAAAGAAGTCCACCAGTTATGTATTAAGGAAGGAAGAGATTTTTCTTCTAGCCACGCCAGTTCAAACCTGAAGGGTTTGGGTCTTAAGTTTAAGGCTTGGGAAAAGAGGAGGATAGGACAATGGTCCAAAATAGGTTTTGCTAGGGCGATAGCGTGCGTGCCAGGGAAAGTTTCCTCCCAGTCTAAACTTAAGTGAAGCCTATCCAGTCTAGAAAGAAAAGCTTGGGTAGAGTGGCTAGACCACGTAAATCGATTCCCTTGCTGAGGAATATCAATGAGCTCATTTCTAAAAATGAAATCAGAAAAGTCGATCATTCCCTGGGGAAATGTTGCAGGAAGAGTTACGTTCATGGGACCAGCAGGTGATGTTAGAGTCACCACCCAAACACCATACAGGGTGGGGTAGGGAGGCCACCAGGTCCAACTCGGACCAGACGCATGGTCGAGTGGCAGAGGAGCAAGGGCCCTAAATAGCTGAGAATTTCCATTGAAGGCCATCCAAATTATGAGACAGTAACACGGTGACTGAGAAAGCTCCAATGTGTGAGGAAGATAGGGTGTGGTCCGTAACATCCCATATCACGCAGATTCCCCCAGAGGCTCCATCAGCCGGTAGAGAAACCCACTGGGAAGGCCTCCTATGACGAATTAGGGATAACGAGGGCTCAGATGTTTTTGTTTCAGTTAGGGCGAGAATAGTAGGATAGTGTTTAGACGACAAGTCTTTAACCGCCTTCCTTTTAGAGGGGTGGCTTAGACCTCTGACATTCCAACTTATGATCTTCATGGTTTACAGGGGGAAGAAGAGAGTGAGACTAATCAAGCAGATCGCCTCAAGGAAGGAGAGGAAGACAGAGAGGCAGGACAACTCGAAGTGGTGGGGGCCTCAATAGAGAGAGTGGGGAAAAGATTCATAGGCTCCCATTTGCCTTTAAATCCCACATGCTATTGACTCTGGGCATCCGCGAGCATAAAGCAATGGGCTGGTTCTTCAAGCCCATCGTACTGGAAGCCCATGGTTCGGAAAATATCCTTCATTCTTTCAGTTTCTTTGTGACGTTGTACCCGTTCATGTTCTTCTCCTTCTTCGATAACAGCCTTGGAGTGTGATGAGGAACGGGCGAAAGCTGCAACCGACCCATCGGGTATATTGTTGTCCCCATCCCCGTCGACCCCCTCGTCAGACGCACAAGGCAAGGGGGGAGAGATGAGCCTACAAAGGTCTTGAGAGAAGTCCTGAAGCAGAGGATAGAGGTCATTGGGGAGGGGAGGGAGAGGGGAGGAAGCCAAAGGGGGCGAGCGGGGAGGGGGGGAGGGGGGACCAAAAAGGTCAGAGGGCAAAGGAGACAAGGGAAGAGAGGGGGCAGGAGGAGGGGGTAAAGGGACAATAGGCACAGAGTGGTAAAATTGTTCCCTCGAAGAGACCACGGGGGAGTTATGCGTAGAAGGCAGGTAAGCGACAGCCATAGGAGGAAGCGCGGGGAAGCCAGAAGGATCAGAATAATGCACAAGCGCATAAAATTGCGCAGTAGAAACAAAATGATGGGTTGCCCAAAAAATGTTGGGAGGAAAGGATCTGGTTAACAATGACTAAACATGGAGAAAGGGTCAAGGGGGGTGGCGAAGGAGTTTCAAGAGAGTAGGCAAAGGGGAAACTATGAGGGAAAGAAGGAGAGGAGTGGTCCATGGAGGAAGATAGGGGAGTCAGGCGAGGGGCGAAGGGGGGAAGAAGAATCAGAGAAAGCAAAGGGTTAAACCGAGAGGAGGAGGGCAGAGGCTCAACCAAAGAGGGAGAAGAAGAAACAGGGGAAGCAAAAGAAGAGGCAGAGGAAGAAGGGGGAGAAGAGGCTATGAAAAGGCCAGGAAGGAGGGAGAGAAGGAAGGAGGGAAGAGGGGGAGTTGGGTGACACGTGTCACCCCGCAGAAGATCAGAAGGTGAAGGGGCAGCCAGGTGGGGGGACGCAGAGCAGGACGTCATACCGCACGGCAGGGAAGGGAGGGAAGGCGACAAGACAGGGAAGGTAGAGGGCAGCGACGCAACTGACGAGTGGATGGGCGGTAGCTCGAACAACAGCTGGGAGTGACAAGTCGCACCTCAAGGCGGCGAGAGCTTCTAGAGAGGACGAACAAGTATCACGAGGGGGAAAGGGGATGGAGGATAGTGGGCCAGGCTGAAGGAAAGACCCGAGGTCCACACACAATGTCAGTCCAGGGTAGCAGAGGAGGAGCGAGGCCGGGCTTAAGGAGAGGGCTCGAGGACCACACCCACTCTTCGTCTGGGCCAACGGGTTCCTTACCAGGCCGATGAGACGAGCCATCTAGGGTATTACCTAACTCTGCTGTTGAAATCATGGGTCGGTCCCTCCACTTAGCCCTGTCAAGAGGAATTGGTGACTTTGACGGCGAGATAGACCAAGGACTGTAGAAAGGTGGTGCATGCGTCAAGCAGCCAGGATATGACCGTTGAAGGGGTAGCACATGGCCCAGGGAGGCCGCTTGGACGGACATTTGTGCGGAGGAGGTCGAGGGATGAGGACACGTGTGACGTAAGAGGGAGGGAGGGGAAGGTGGGAGCAATGAGGCAAGAACCGATGGAGGAGAGGGAAAAGTCGAAATGACAGGGTCAGGTCGGGCCTCAAACCCGGGTCGTATACCAGAGGTAAGGGGAGGCAATTGAGGTCGGGCTTTGGATAGCAGGCTCACAACGGTTCGAGTTAGGAAAAGGCAGAGAGGTTGCAAGCGGCGGTAGAGGACAGTTCAGGTGCTGCCCTCTGCTGGCCGCCAGGTCTGAGGCTTGACGACAACTCCTCTTAGGACGAGGTTTCTTGGAAACAAAGGTCCACTGAGCAGAGAGAGTCTAGGGATTTGGCAAGGACACCATATGGAGGAAGTGAGGGGAAGGGGGGGCGGCCAAATCCCAGGAGACAGAAATGGGGAAGAAAAGGTCTTCCACTTCAATCCATAAGATTTTAGGGATGAACTTGGGATCAAGCATTTCCACCAAAACGCATATAGACCCCAAGGGGAGAGGTTCAATCGAGATTCAATGAATAGAAATCAGTGGACCACGCATGTGATGGGATATGATTAAAAATAATCCACACCTTCTGTTTCCTAAAAGAGCCCTCTGAAGGCGACCAAGGCCGAAGGAGGCAAGAAGCCCCATGGAAGGAGAGAGCATTGGAATCTTGTAATGCAGGACGTGCACTATTCAAGGAAGGGAAAGAAAAGAGAATATCACCAGACGAGAGGCGTCTACAGCTAAGGTTACGCTCCCCCCAGTGTTTTTGAGGGGTCCTTTCAATCCCTCTGATATCATGAAGTCCCAACTTGAAGCAGCCGATCAAGGACGCCAGAAGCTTAGGCTTAGTTTTCTCAATCACATCGTGAGGGATTCAGATGCATTGAGGAAGGGAGGGAGACCTGTTGGTAACACTGGGTTCCCTATGTAAATGCAGAGAAGGGCTAAGCGGGGTGGAGGGAGTCGTCTTAGAGGAGGCCACTACCTGAGAGTAAGAGGCCTTGGGTTGCGAAGAGGAGGTGGGAAGAGAAGACCCGTGATGGTCGGACGGAGAAGGAGAAGAAATAGGTCGAGAAGGCGGGGGAAGAGTTTTAGGATAAAGGTTGTAAATAGCCTTCCAGTATCTCGAAGAGCGAGGGGGCGGAGGGAAACAACGAGCAGAAGGTGAGGGAGGAACATGAAGTCTAGGGGCAGGAGCAGAAGAAGCCATCCAGTTTCCCCTTTCCATTGACTGTTTTTTGAGTTTGGGAGCTTAAAATGGTAGTAATGGTATTATCTTTTAATATAGCCAAGGCATGAGTATTTTCTGACTTAATATTTCCTTCATTTATTTCTATTTCAGTGAATTTTAATTTTAATTTTTTATTTTTATTTTTTATTTTATTCAATGGGATGAGAAATCATTATTTTATTCTAAAGGGTTATTAAGGAAGTGGTGGAATCATCTTTGAGGGTAGACATGGAGTTCATAATTTTGGGGGATTTTGAGTGGGGAGCGTTTGTATGGACAGAGAGGAAGATAAGGCGACGTATAAATTAAGGAAAGAGGAGAAGGTGATTGGGTTTAGGAGTCCTTGAATTTACAGAGTTAGGAAGTCATGTAAAGGAAAGAGTCCATGTTACTTTTTCTTCTTTGTTTCTATATATGTAAGGGGGAGACATGAACCGTCATGAGGAGGTGGATCGTTTCCGATTTAATCAGAAAACTTATTTGAAGAAACAAAGGGCCCAACATGAGGCTCATAATTGCTTACTTCTCTCTCATGACTCAAAGCTTCTAATGGATTTTTTAGGTTGTCTGTGTGGTTAAATCCTTCTCCTTTCTCTACCCTTCTTTCCCTCTAGATTTTGTGGCTTTCATTTAGATGAAAATGTACAAGTAAAAGAAAAGGAAGAGAGCTAGAAAAGGAAGAAAGCTTTCCAAATTTACAAAGCACATTCATAGTGTTTCCGAACGTGACTAACCATATCACATCAATGAGCTTTCTCAATTGCATATCAAATTTTTCCATTGGTATATTTCAAATATGTTGTTTTACCTCACAATGACAGTTTTTACAAGTCATTTGGGCCATTTGACATTGTTAGGGAACATTTCGGTCTACTAAGAGAGTACACGTACAGAAACTTCCATATGAGAAGAGAAGCACGTATTGAGAAATAAGGAAAAGCTTTATGCACAAAAAAACAAAGTGAATGACAAGCAAAAAAAGTACCTCAATTTTCACATTCTTAAACCGCAACTTCTTCCTACATCCGATGAAGATAATGGGATTCAGGCCAACCAATGGATTTCCTTTTAAATCAAAAGCTTCTCTCAAACATATTGTTCCACCACACCCATCATAAGTGAATTCATCAATATCAAAAACATCCACAATCAATTGTTGGTCATGAGAAAGGTACACAATGTCATCTCTCTGTTCATAATAGGCTGCTGAAAGAACAATGTGATCATTCTTTATCATTGGATCATTGTGAGGATTCAAAGTTTCCTCCCTCCCAGTAATGGAACCCAAAGCAGGCACAAAAAATTCCCCCACAGCAAGAAGAAAGTCTAGAACAACTAGTACGCGAGGCTGCTGAATCCGAACGACAAAGGATTGGGAGTGTGCACGGACTCTGTAGTCCAACAAGAGCATGGTTACACTGGGAGGATCTGCAACAAAACCCTCTACGATCTTCTTTCCATTAAGATCATCAAGATATGACATCTTTGTATCTCCAATTGAACCAGAAATATTGTAAATGCCTAATTTCTCAGCATCAAAAGAAGACCCAAGCATTAAACGCATCTCAGGCTTTATATCAAGACGGATGTCCAGAATAGAAAATTTCGGAATAGTAACATAGAGATCTGATTCTGACAGGGAAGTTGTGCGGTATGATAACCAAAGCCCTTGAAGCTGTAGAAAAATATGAAATGGAAAAAACTTAGGCGAGAGGTTAATCACTTCCAAGCAGTTCAAAAATGAACATGGTAAATATACACAAATAACAGCAAAAAACAATATATAGTACTAATATAAAAAAAATTGAATTTCCATGGCCGTCCATCTCAGTTTTAGTAATTTTAACTATTTAAATCTGAATCATGAAGAATTGAAAACTTACAGCAATATGAGCAAGAGGTGATTCTTCAACAATGCCATTGCACAACTCCAGCAATGCATAGTTAACTTCAACAGTGACAACTGTTACTGTACGAGATAGAAAGATTTGACTGTTGAAATTTACTTTATCAACAAGCAAGCGTATGGATCCATTAGGGCCAGTTGAGCTGCCCCTGAAGCTTGGAGGGAGCTGTGGCTCTTCAGAGATATTCATATATGCACAATCAAGGATAACACTATACTCCTTATCGTTGATCACTCCATGTAGTACACCAACCTGTTGAAAACAATCGAACTAAAATCAGCAACTACTTGTTCTTTATGCTCAGAAAGCATCAAAGAAGGATATTAAAAACTGTTGAGATTGAAAGAGAAGAGAGAGAACATAGTATTCAAGCACAAGAAAGAAAATATAGATGTCTTTTTTCACTGGGAGATTCTGCTGGTTCGGCTCCAAGCATTCTTGTGTCCTTGAGGAGATCGAGAGTATACTTTCTTTGAGGGCAAAAAAAAGCTCCTTGTTTAGACCTAGCCACATTTATTCCAAGGAAGTATTTCAATAGACCAAGATTCTTGATGTCAAAAACACCACCTAAGAAATCTTCCACATTTTTTTTGAATATGTTGTAGTCAATGCTAAAAAAGGTGGAGGCAGTCAGGGGCTTTAACCGCCCCCTAGGCGGGTGCCTAGAAATCTAGGTAGCCCTAAGGGCAAGGGTTGGGGTAGGGGGCTTTTGGGAATGTGTGTGCGTGTTCGCGTATGTGTGTGAGTGAGGCCTCGCATGATATTCTTAAAGATCATCATCTTTCTTTTCTTTTGGATCTATATTTGTGAGAGAGAAGTCTCGAACACTTGGAAGATGTTCTTCTTTTTCTTCTTCTAATACGTCGAGAGAGAGAGAGAGAAAGAGAGAGGGGGAGAGACAAAGAGAAAGAGAGAGGGAGAGAGAGAGAGTCTATGAGAGAGAGGGACTTCGCATCAAACACTTGGAGGTCGTCTTCTTCTTATTTTTCTTCTCACAAATAAAGTGGAAGCATATGGGATCACGTGTATCTTTGTGTGTGTGTGATAGAGAGAGGGGCCACACACTGAACACTTTAAGGCCATCTTCTTCTTTTTATAAGTACAGAGAGCACATGGGCCCCAGAGAGAGAGAGAGAGAGAGAGAGAGAGAGAGAGAGAAAGAGGACACTACACAAGGTTGAATTTTTGTTTGGGTGCATTTAATTTTTTTTTTTTCAAAGGGGTGGCACAGGCCTGCTAGGCGCTCACCTTGAGCCCTTCTAGGAGAGCTAGGCGCCCGTCTTAGGCATGGGCGTGTAGCCTAGCCGATCAGTCGACGAGGCCACCTAGGTGCCTACTTTTCATCGCTAATAGTGGCAGAAGAAGAATCTATTTCAACAAATACAAAATGATCTGAAACAGTTCTCTAAAATCCAAACTGACATACTGCCATACTAAATTTTTTGAACCACGCCCGAGGTGATTGTTTGAGTCCATATATGGCTTTTCTCAATTTATAGACCTTCCCTTTCTCCCAAAGATAAATTCGAGGAGGTAATGCCACATACACTTTCTCTTGCAGATTGCATGAAGAAAGGCTTCTTCACGCCTAATTGGTGACGTGGCCATTTCTTGTTTACTGCAACAGACAAAAGTACTTGCACTGATCTTAATTCTATTATAGGAGCAAAAGTCTCCTCATAGTCAATCCCATATAATTGTATAAAACCCTTAGCTACCAGATGAGCTTTGTATCTCTTAATTGAACCATCTGGTTCGTGCTTCAGGGTATACACCCACCAGCATCCAAACATGTTGTCCTTCCAGCTGAGCAATTACATCCCAAGTTCGGTACTTCTCTAAGGCAATCATTTCCTTAATCATGGGTCATTTCCATTGTGGATGAGCCATTGCATCTGCAACTTTGATGCGAATAAAAACAAAGGAAGTAGAGCAAAGGTATGCACGAAAGGAAGATGGAAGTAAAGCATAAGAAACAAACTTACTGATTGGATGAGAAGTAGAGTCCTTTTTTCTTCTTATGGCAATAGGTAAATTGAGTTGATTAGGCATAAGGGTAGAAGAAGACGAAGTACCTGACGAGTCAACAAGTTGAGTTGATCGTTTACAACAAACATTCCCTTGTTCGTTTTCCAGGTGTACACCTTAAGTTGTTTCTTAGTAGATTTCACATGTTCATTGGTTAGATTACTGGAACTATGTGATCATTGGAAGAGGAATAGGATTATCGGATGGCATATTGAATACCAGATTTGTTTTGAAAGAAAAATAGAGTAGATTCACATGGAAGGTAACATACTTTGAGAAATATTTTCTTTTAGTTTCCAAATAATAACTCTTGTATAATTTTCTGAGACTATGGGGTGGAATGTTGGTTGAGCAAAAAACAATATACCCATAGAATGAGTGTAACGGAGATGAGGATGGTGAGATGGATGAGGGGCGAGACAAAAAGGTATAGAATTTGCAATGAATCTATTCGAGAGAATTTAGGCGACGCACTAATAGGTGATAAAATGAGAAAGAGTAGACTTAGGTGGGCTGGCAATGTGTGGTGTCGACCAAGTACAGCACCTGTTAGGAGGTGCAAATTAGTTCAAGTGTAAGGACTGAAAAAGGTAAAGGATATGGGGACTAATGGCCTCACTGAGGATATGGCCTTTAATAGAGCAATATGGAGAACCAGGATTCATGTAACCGACCTTAATTAATTGGGAAAAGGCTAAAATGGTGATGATGATGATGATGATCCTTTCTGAGACTTTGAGTATCCTAGGAGCACACATCTAGTAGATTAATCCCTAATTTAATCTAGGTCCGCCTCGACCTCGACCTCGGCCCCTGCCCCGGCCCCAGCCCCGGCCCCGGCCCCGGCCCCGGCCCCGGCCCCGGCCCCGGCCCCAGCCCCAAGGTATGCACAAAGCAGACACAACCAAAGGCTTTTAGTGGAAGAGAAACAGAGGAAGTGTGCAGTCGAGAATAAGTGTAGCCATTCTATTGATCCTATAGGCAGCAGCAAAAACTGCTTCATCCCAATATGTCTTAGAAATCTTCATTCTTATTAAGATTTCTTTTACGACTTCTAACAAGCGTATTTTTCCATTCTACTACACCATTTTGTTATGGTGTATAGAAACATGATGTTTGAGTTTATATATCATATTCAAGAAAATATTTTTTTATCCGTTGTATAGATACTCTCTCGCATTGTCAAAATCAAAAAAAATTATTAAGGTCTCAAACTTGGAACATTTTATGAAATATTTTAACTACTGAAGGTACTTCATCTCTACTTTTCATAAGATAGATCCAAGTATAAGGAGAGTAGTCATTGACTAATGAGATAAAATACCGATATCCAAATACAGAAATTACAGGAGCAGACCCCAAAACATTAGAATGAACAAGATGGAAAGGCTTAGAACTTCTATTTTCACTAGAAGAAGAAGATCATGCACAACGTTTAAATAATTGACATTTGTAACTGAGGAACATTCAAAGAGACAAAACTTATCAGGAAATCATGATTTTAAAGATTTTAGAGACATGGCCTAATCGGATGCGCCATAAGAGGACTTGCTCATGACATCCAGACTCAGAGCTACGTGTATTAGAAGTGTATCCCGCGTTGAACAAGTACAGCCCATTGTCGTCACGACCACCACCAATCACCTTTCTCACTCGATACATTATGGGCACTTGCATTCCCTGGTTTCAGCATCAAGTGTGGATGCAAGTCAGTGCTCTTGGGTGTGTGACCTCTAACAACAATGGGAGCAATTATGAATCTCCTTTTCAGCGGGAGAGAGGGGGAAACAATTTGGTCATGTTTGTACCCATTTTCCTTGCATGAAGCTTATTGCAACAGCTGATCGTTCAAGATGGATGCTTGAGTTTAGCCCTTCTGCAATAGCCTTTCTAACTAGCCTCCCCTCTTAAATAATTATAGACTGACACAAGAAAGGCAATTTGTCCTTTCTTAGAACTTTCCCTCTCTGAAGTTCAAAGTCAGGATGTAAACCTACTAAGAACTCAAAGATCAGTCATTGCTTGGCTTGTTTTTTAATGTCTTCAACAATGGGATTAATTGGCTAACAGGGGTCTAGTTTTGCCCAATATCGCCTTAATATCCCTATGCACTCTTCCACAGTCATTTGTCCTTGCCGCAAATTAGCTCTTTCACAATGCCATTGGTAAATCTTAGCCATATCATCACGTTGCGAGTATGTCTTGATTACTACTTTCCATATATTCTTTGTAGCCTTAAGAAACAGCAGCCCCCTGCTGATAGTTGACTACAAGGAATGAAGGGTGCCATTATTGTCTCACTTTCCCATCCATCATGGCATGAATCACTTATGGGAAGCTCTTTCACTACTCCTATGATATAACCCAATTTCCTCCGGCTTCTTATGAACATTTTGGCAAATTGGGACCATTCTAAGTAGTTAGTCCCATCGAGCTTAACCGTAGTAATTATCAATCTTGGGTGGTCAGATTAACTGCTTCCCAAGGAAATATTGTGCCCGATTTCTAACATTTTCCTTCTCTATCAAACTAGAATCCCTAAGGCTCTTTTTCAAGGTACTAATTCCTTAGCTTCAAATGTGAGATTGTTGGAAATGTGAGGTTGTTGGAAATATGAGGTTGCTAGAAATATGGTGTTGCCAGAAATATCCGGTTGCTGAAAAAGGAGGAGTTTGGGGTAAAAACTTACTTACTGGTAGAGGAAAGCTAAATGATCACGTTCGAAATACAAGGTTACTGATACACCACAACTTCAAGCTCAAGAAGTAGGTCACCCGAAATAATGGATATCCTAGGTTTTCACTCCTTGCTCTGATACCATGTTAAGATTGAGAGAGAAGAGAAAGAACGTAATATTCAAGCACAAGAGAAAGAAAATATAGATGTTTTTTTTCACTCTCTACAAATCGTGGGGCAATGTGCCCTATATATACATAGATCCCTATGGGAGTTAAATACGTGTAGGTCAATATCTATAGGAGTTGCAACCGTTATGCATGACTATTACAGCCCATTATGTATGACTACCCCATGATTGTTACAGTAAAGAAATGCACGACTGTTACAAAAAGAATCCATAAAAATTATTGTATGCTTAATGTGCAGGGGTCCCATAACAGTCACTACAAAGAGAATACATGTCACTCTTTGAAGGTACCTGGGATCTGCCAAATTGTAAAAGAACCACAAATAAAATGTAAAATAACACTGAATTACTTATAAACAAGGTGAAATATTGAATCTCACTCACGTGTAGCTTAGCCCCAAAGACATGATTTAAGGATAATCAAAGATCAAAGTCAGATCGAGGCAACAACTAAGAGAAAACTAACGGAAAACTCAACAAGATAAATAAACTCAGAAGGCCCCAAAACTATCTGCAGTATTAACACAAAACACTTACCGATTAAACTATATAAGACCACAAGTCATAATTAATCAATGAGATGAACACAACATTTTTCCCCACAGATTCAGCAAACCAATCTGCCAGCTCCACGCCTTAGCAATATAACACAATTAAACTATATAGAGCATCATATGAATATAATGGCAACCAGTTCAATCGTTTTTTTTCTTTCTTTATCCTTTTTTGCCCCCATAGTGAAAAACAAGATTGAATTCAATTACGATTATACTGGCGTCAGCCCCAAAAATGTGACACAAAGAACATCACGGTTCACAAGGTTAAAGAAGTGAGAATGAAAGAGGACGTTCTCATTACAAGTGGAGGACATCATGAGGTTCTCGTTATCCCAACAAGACCTGACAACTTAGAACAAACTACATCCGCATATGTGTTCATTTGCATTCCAAAGGCAAACATACTTATATGTTCTAGTTCATAGTGATCTATAGGAGTCCATAAAAGTATCATCACAAACACAATCTGAATTGGCTCACCTTCACCTCTACAGACATCATTGGGACTTTCCGAAAAACATCCCTCAAACTGCGGCGCACTTGGATTTGAAGTCCTTGGCCTTGCCTTATCATAGGCTTCCCTAGCACCCCGTCGATTCCGACAGCCATATTAATACCCTGAATCTGCAATTACAACAGGAAGGAAGCCATAAAGCCACTAATTCATGAGAGAGAGAGAGAGAGAGAGAGAGAAGAAAGACATAACACACAAAACATGTGCAATACTAACCTCCGCATGAAGAACATCAAGATGAACTGCAGAAGGATCTTTCTCCTGGCATCCATGCCAACTGAAACTGTTCCTCACTTGAAGATGGCCAAGATCAAGCTGCATGAAACTGAATTCTGGGGTAATTAGACTATGAACTCTATTTCCAGAAACTTGGGACAAAGATTAACAAAGAAAAACTTAGAACACTAAGTAACTTCGAAGTTGTCTAGGAATAAATAAGCCAAAACAATATTTCGTCTTTTTTGTGCAACCATCACATTACTTTGAGAATTTGATATCCATGCCCATACATAACAGAAGACACTAGCAAACTTATTTTGTAAACGGAAGTGATACATGGTTTTACTTAAAGGTTTTGGAAACACCTGTGATTTGGAATCATCTAAGGAGTCGGAATCGCGTGTATCAGATGTTTCTTAAACTTGGAATCGTTGTTCGTACGATTCACAATTACAAATCGTGATTCGCACTATATCGGAATTGTGATCCAATAAATTAGGAATCTTGTTTCCTATTTGTGAGAATCTATGTCCCTTCATGTTGGAATCAAGTTTCAAACCTATATGGAATCACACCTGACCCCACATAGTTTAGTGGATTATAGAATCGCGATCCAATGAGATTGGAATCGTGATTTCTACAAATATAAAATCGTTATTCCTAAAATTCTAGAATCGTTGTCCCCTTCAACTTGGAATCAAGATTTTCACCATTTAGGAATCAAGATTCTCCATATACTGGAATTGCGCACCAATCCCCTCCAGTATATGAAAGAAGTATTCAAAAACTATTTAAATTTTATCAACTATTAATAGATTAAATTTTGGTCTGCATATATTTAGTCCAATTACCAATGTCAACCTTTATGATATCTTTGTCAACAACCCCATACAATGGACTCGGTCTACCAACAGCCGTTCACCTACAAGACCTGGAGCGGGTCTACGACATACAACTAGTGAGAACAAGGGCGAGCTTCCTCTATCGCCTTTCCTTGAATTATAAATAAGTAGATGACATAGAAATTCTTCTTTGCTACTTTTGACTTTCGAAAATTGAGTTATTCAATTTAAGTCAATTTTTGATATTTAATGATAAATTTACCCTAAAACACCATAGGGCACTTCGCTCATATTCTTATCCTCTTATTCTACTTGAAGAAAAGCAATGATAGTATATCATGGTACCCATCATATCATCATCATCATCATTTTAGCCTTTTTTCAATTATTTCGGGTCGGCTACATGAATCCTAGTTCTCCATTCGGCTCTATTAAAGGTCATATCCTCAATGAGGCCATAAGTTCTCATATCTTTTCGGACTACTTTCAACCACGCCCTTTTGGGCGTACCCCTTGCCATTTTCAGTCCTTTCACTTGAACTAACTCGCACCTCCTAAAAAGTGATGTACTTGGTCAACGTCACACATGGCCAGCCCACCTAAGTCTACTATCTCTCATTTTATCGCGTATTGGTGCCACGCCTAAATTCTCTCGAATAGATTCATTTCGAATACTATCCCTTCTTGTCTTACCACTCATCCATCTCAACATCATCATCTCCGCTACACTCATTCTATGGGTATATTTCTTTTTGTCTGCCCAACATTCCGCCCCATAGAGCAAAGCTAGTCTTACTGTTGTCCTATATAACTTGCCCTTCAGCCTCATTGGTATGTAGCAATCACATAAAATTCCAGTTGCACATCTCCACTTTGCCCACCCAGCTCTAATTCTGTGTGCGACATCTTCATCGATCATTTTCTTGAATTATTGACCCAAGATATCAACAGTGTAATCCTTTTCGTACTTCCTGGCCGTCAATCTTAACTAGTTCCTTGTCTCTACTCCTATTATTACTGAAGTTGCACTCCATATACTCTGTCTTAGTCCAACTAATTTTAAAACATTTGGATTCTAAAGCATCCCTGCAAAGTTCTAACTTTGTGTTGATGCCGTTTCGGGTCTCATCAATAAAAACTATGTCATCTGCAAACAACATGCACCATGGTACCACATCCGGTAGGTGCCCAGTAAGTCGTCCATAACTAAGACAAAGATGTACGAGCTCAATGCAGGCCTGTGATGTAGACCTATTGTCACTTAAAACTCACTCGTCTCACCACTAGTTGTTCTTACACGAGTTAACGCTTCATTGTACATGTCTCTTACCAAGTCGATGTAGTGTTTAGAGACGCCTTTCTTTTCCAACGCCTGCCAAATCAAATTTCGAGGTACTCTATCATAAGCTTTCTCAAGAACAATTAAGACCATCATTTACCATATTTCTATAAAGACCATCATTTCTATCCTTGGTACCCATCATCTATTAAACAATATGACATTAGTACCCACATCATTTACCAAAAATTATTAAATTTGAAGTAAAATTTTTTTTAGTAATATTTATACCCGGTAAGAAAAGTAATATGGAATTTGAAAACAAGGATAGAAATTAAAAAACAAGAAATAAAAAATTTCACATATTCCCCATATTTAAAACTTCGATTTTAATGCCATGTGCAACAACTTCAAATTCACAATTCCTAAAAATTTTGAATCAACGTTGCCATGTGCAACAACGTTAGATTCACAATTCCTAAAAATTTTGAATCAACGTTTCGCACAAGTAGAATCACATTGTTGTGTAGCTAAGAATCAAGATATTTGTGATATAGAATCCTTATTCCAAACAAAATGGATTCGCAATTACCAAAAATTTGGAATCAACGTTTCGCACAAGCAGAATCGCATTGTTGTGTAGCTAAGAATCACAAAGTCTGCGAAATGGAATCTTGATTCCAGGCTTCCAAGAAGCGAGATTTATAAACTAAATTGAATTGCATTTCGAGAAACTTAGAGACGCGATTCCTGTCTTTCAGAATCGAGTTTCATCTTGCGAAATGCAGAATCGAGAATCCGAAACAGAATCGCTACCCCAATGGGCGATCCAGGTAACTATAGGTTTACTACTATATAACATAATTGTAATTCAAGACTCTATATGCCACAAAACAATCAACAAATTCAAATGATGAAATTATGTTTTAAGATATCGCGAGAAAGAAAAAACTCCTAACTTAATGAGGGAGAAGAAGAAGAAAAAGAAGCTCGTAAATCAATGATAACAAAAGAAAACATAAGGAAATCAATGTACACTAGACAGCTCACGTAATCCATCTCCAAGGGAGAATTTCCAGGTAAAAAGGCCTTCAGAGTGGGTTTTCCAAAAACTATACAGTTACAATATCAAAACAGGATGTCTGCAGAAACCACTCATACAAAATATGCAATACCAACACTTAAAACCTA